AAAAAATTTAAAAGCAAATCAGAGAAGGAAAAAACAAAGTCAACTTACAGCAACCAGGGTGATTGATTTTGCCCCCTGCCCCTACCTCGAGGGTATTGGGCCGTGTCTGACAACATTAAAGGAATGGAATAGCTTGACTATAGTCTGATCTGATCAAAGTGAAAAGACAGGGCTGGTCAGCAATGGACACCCTGGTAAAGGTTGCTCAGGGAGACAAGCATCAGCAAGGCCCAGCCAAGTTTGATCTAGAAGAGAGCTCCTATAAAAAAAAATTTGTAAGACAGGGAAATAGATACATTAACTGGACATTCAAAAATATTAAGTAACTTTCTAATTTTTTAAATCCTGTAATGGTTTTCTATTGCCGTGTGACCATCACCACAAATTTAATGGTGTAAAACAACACACATCTGGGGAGCCTGGGTGGCTCAGTGGTTAAGCGTCTGCCTTCGGCTACAGTCATGATCTCGGGGTCCTGGAATCCAGCCTCGCACAGGGCTTCCCTGCTCAGCAGAGAGCTTGCTTCTCTCTTTCCCTCTGCCTCTCCCCCAGCTTGTGCGCTTCCCCCACCCCCGCCTCTCTCTGTCAAATAAATAAAACCTTTTTTTTTAAGATTTTATTTATTTATTTGAGAGAGAGAATGAGAGAGAGAGAGCATGAGAGGGGGGATGGTCAGAGGGAGAAGCAGACTCCCTGCTCAGCAAGGAACCTGATGTGGGACTCGATCCTGGAACTCCAGGATCATGACCTGAGCCGAAGGCAGTCACTCAACCAACTGAGCCACCTAGGCACCCCAAATAAATAAAATCTTAAGCATGTGCGCGCACACACACACACATGCGCATGCACACGCACACACACACACATACACATTTGTCCTATCACTGGTTCTGTGGGTCAGGAGTCCAGGCATGGTTCAGCTGGATCCTCTGCGAGGCTGAAATCAAGGTGTTAGGTAGGGCTGGGTTCTCTGAACTGGGCGGAAAGGTCTGCTTCCAAGCCACTCAGGTTGTTGGCAGAATTCAGTGCCTTGCTGTTTTAGGACTCAGAGCCTCCCTCTGGTCCTGGCTGTTGGCTAGAGGCTGCCTTCAACTTCCAGAGGCTTCCCCAACATGGTACTTTGTTTCCTCTGAGTGAGCAAGAGAGAGTTTCCAGCAAGACTGGCGCGACAGTCTTATGTAAGTAGCACAGTCGTGGAATCATGTACATGTAATCACATATATCCCAATGGGATATATCTTTGTCATACTTCCTTGGTTAGAGGCAAGTCACACTCAAAGGGAAGTGATTATAGAAAGGCATAAACGCAAGGAGACAGGAATTATGGGGTCACATTTAAAGTCTGCGTACCATAGATGTGATACTGGTATTAAAGTAACTTTGTTTTTTTTTTTAATTGAAGTATAGTTGACATGGTTACTTTCTTTAAGAACCCTCGTATTTTAGGGCTAAATCCTGAAATATTTGCCAGTGAAAGTATATGATGTCTGTCAATGGGTTTGCTTCAAAGGAATGGATTTGCTTCATGATAATCCAGAGGGGGAGAAGTAGGTGGAGGCATAAATAATTGGCCATGAGTGAGAAATTGTTGAACCTGGATGATACATTCATCAGAGCTCATTACATATTCTCTATACCTCTGTATGTGTTTGAAATTTTCGGAATAAAATTAAAAAATGAATAAAGAGACAGTATGTGTATTAGTTATCTATTGCTACAAAACTACCTCACAACGTAGTCATTTAAAATAAACATTTATTATCTCGGTTTCTGTAGGTCAGGAATTTGGCACAGCTTAGGCTGGTGCCTCTGGTTCAGGGTCTCAGAGGGCGGAGTCAAGGTGTCAGCCGGACTACAGGCATCCGAGTCTTGACGGGCTAGAGGGTCTGCTTCCAAGGCCATTCATGGCTCTGTTGATCAGCCTCTCCTTAAGGCAGTTCACAAGGGGCAAGTGACTTCTCACAGAGCAAGTGACAAGAGAGAAAGACACACACACATCTACCAAAACATAAAATGCGGTTTTTTTATAACTTAATCTCAGAAGTAACATACCGTCACTGCTGAATATTCTGTTGGTCACACAGACCAACCGTGGTGAAACGTGGGAGCAGACTACACAAGGGTCTGAGCAGCAGAAGATGGGATTGTTGAGAGCCAATTTTGAGGCAAGCTACCACACACAGTGCATAAGGCAAAAACTGAGTGCTGTCCAAGTTTTCCTTGAAAATCCTGTAAATAACCTATAAAGCATAGTAGAGTGATATCCCAGTGAACAAGCCCAATACTGCCAGGTTTTTCTCTAGTGCTGGAACACCTCACTGTTTTGTGGAGTACTAGATAAAGTTGTTGGCTTGAATTATGGACCATGGTTGTTCCAAAAATAAATGTATTTTTTAAATTTTTTTAAAGATTTTATTTATTTATTTGAGAGACAATGCTCAAGAGAAAGAGCACAAGCAGGGGGAGGGGCAGAAGGGAGGGAGAGAGAAGCAGACTCCCCGCTGAGCAGGGAGCCTGATGTGGGGCTCGATCCCAAGATCCTGGGATCATGACCTAAGCCAAAGGCAGACGCCCAACTGACTGAGCCACCCAGGTGCCCCTAAAAATAAATGTATTTAAAACTAAAATCGCATTTGGCCATGCCATGAGCATATATAGTTAAATTCAAGTAAATTAAATGCATTATGATGGGATTCTAATGCATTGTTAAAGTGGGGAAGCTTATGTCTTGGTGACATCTGCCATTTAGGTCCATTTTGCTGACTCTCCTCATTTCAGCTCCACAGTCATGAAGCCGCTTTCTGATTATAATTTATTTATTTATAATTATAATTTGGCTTCCCAAACAGATATGCAAATGGAGAGAAAATGCTCTAATCTAATCCATTCTGTGATTACACTTCTCATATAAAAAATTGGTATTCTGGCTCTATACATCAATCTCTATGCGCTAGTTAAATGTGAATGTACCCCTGAAAGATGGATTCGCTCTTGGTACATTTACATAATAGGCTTCTAAGCCTGCACCCCTGATCCCTTGGACTGTGATGAATTTACAGTCCACCCTACCCATTACCCAAGTAATGCCACCCTAGCGGGTACTGTCTGAGTGACCTAAAAATCTCCCCCAAGTGTGGCAGCTATATTTACCATACGCAGAACATATCCATGAGCTCCCCCACATTTCTCAGGTCCCTTGCTCTTAGATGGGGGTATATGACCAGTTGCAGCCAATAAGCTATGAGCAGAATTGACACCTATCACTTCTGAGGCAAACAGAGTGAGACTTCCATACACTCCTTCCTCCTGCCGCAGCACCCACAGAGGCCACATGTTGAAATAGCAGAAGGCACTATCAGCCTGGGCCCCTGCAGGACCATGGAACAGAACCCCTCCTGACTTGTACTAGACAAGTGATAGGAATGAAAATAAAAGTTTGTTATATTAGGCCTCTGTGATTTTGTAGGGAGGTATTTCCTACATTAAGATAACTCAGTCTGACTCTATGGCAGGTGATGCCGACTTTGATGGGAGCGCTTTTTTCAACCAATGGCAACATTATACTTGAGTGCTGGGATACATCTCTAACAATCTCCCTACACATTCCCCTATGCCCACTCTTAGTAAGATCAGGTAGGTAAGAGGTGGGCAGAGGCCAAAGAAACGGGAAACCTGTACCCTGAAACCCGCCCTACTCATATCAGCAAAAAACTCACTCTGCATAGTATGCTAATTCTAGAAGCTCTTTGCTCCTGCTACCCACAGATGTCATTTCATTTCTTCTTATTTATCTATTTAGGTATGCCTCTCCCGCCCCCACCCCTGCTTCCTCGGCTGCTACTTCTGGAGCACTATGGCCCCTACAGCCACTCAACATTTGACCCGGTTGACCCAGTAAACACAGTAAGTATGATCAGTTGCCCTGGCTATTCTGACTCAACTGTTCATTTCTAAATGGACAATTTTTTAAAAGTCACTCACAAAAGTGAATATAGAGTTTAAAAATATAGGATGAAGGGGCACCTGGGTGGCTCAATCGGTTAAGCATCTGCCTTCAGCTCAGGTCTTAGGGTCCTGGGATCAAACCCCGAGTCGGACTTCCTGCTCAGTGGGGAGTCTGCTTCTCCCTCTCCTTCTGCCCCTCCCCAACCCCCACCCCGCTTATGCTCTCCCTCTCTCTATATCAAATAAATAAATAAAAATCTTCAAAAATATAGGATGAAAAGTCAACTCAGATGTTTGAAATAGCAACTTTCATGCAAAAAGAATTCAGAATCACCTCAGGGACTTGTATCCCAAAAATATCTATTAAGAACTTAGAAAGAAATTAAGAGTATGCTTATTGCGATGAGCCCTGAGTATATAGAATTGTTGAATCACTATATTGCACACCTGAAACTAATATAACACTATATATTAATTATACTGGAATTTTAAAAATAAATAATTTTTGAAAAGAACTTAGCATACATTGGGGAGATAAAATTCAGACCCTTACAACTATGCATTTATATAAAATCATTCATACAATTCAGTTCAAGGTGGAGAAAACTTTGTACTTTGTGAAAACCTTCCAGTGATTCTTACCCGTGGTGTAACCCACTGATAAGCTGGGAGAAGGGGTGAGCTATGTGGCAGGTCATTGGTTACTCATTAAGCTAAAGCCCTGAAGCCAGTGAATTGTTTACTTCATTGCAAATTAGGGGAAACACAAGATTACTGCTAGAATAAATTCACTGTCACATGCCTTAGCAAAAATAAAAATAGAAAGCGTGGTAGCAGTAAGGTGACAAAAATTGGGACACTACGGGAATTTCTAACTGATTAGCTTGCAGTTTTTGAGATGGCTGAGAATTGCCATCATTGAGATCACCTTAAACAAACACTGTTAATGACTTGAAAAAGTCCCCATCCCAAAGTCAATTATAGGTATTCAACATTACAGATTTAACTGAATTGAAAATATGTTAGAACCAATTTTATTAAGGTAAGAGAAGAATGCTTTTTAAGTTACACTCTAAAACTATACATCAAGATAAAGATATTATATTGCTTTTAGTGTTTAATTTTATCACCACAGTAATACATATACATTTTTTGAAATATCTGGGTTTTTGGGTTATTCTGTTATATGTCCTGATTTTTTAGTTATTGAACATGAGTGTGTTCCAATAAGGGAAATAATTTTTTAGGTACATTTAATGACTCCCAATCTTACCCCCACACACGCACACATATGAACAGTTGTCACCTTTCTATCTTCATGACCCATCTTAGTCCATATACATTCATATTGTCCATAGATATAAACATAACATTGCCAACATTTTGTAGTCCACTGTAATTCCCTTTCTTAGTATTGTGTCATGAGATACTTTCCAATATTTCCACATAGTTATTGCGTCTTTTTAATGGCTACAAAATAGTCTATCAGATACTCATACCTAAGTTTAAATGGTTTGATCTTACTCCTCATAAATGTACTCCTCATCTGTGATTGGTAGTCATAATCGAAGGTGACAACATCATTCTTTGTTACTGGTTACTTCTATGTCAAATACACTCACGGGCAGAGCCAAAACTCCATTAATTAATTAGTCAGGAAGCACGATGAAATTTCCATTAATATGTCTTCATTTTTCTATTTCTAACATGAGGATGAAGTGAACTGCTCTGCAAGTTTGGTAAAGGCAGCTGCTTACATTTCTTTTTGTGCAGAAAATACTTAGTCATTCAAAATCGCAGCATCGAACCACAACCACCTCTAGGCTGTCAGTGTGCCCTCTAGAACAACAGCAGTGCTGCCCCTAATGTCAACCCGTCCATCAGGACGCAGTGAAATCTCCAGCTCTCCTCCTCGGTGGGAACACTGAAAGGCTAAAGAAAACATAAAACAAGTCACGAGTTAATACTGTTCATCTTCACCCTTTCTAATTCACAGAACATAGTGAAAGACCTCTCTCTCTCTTCTTATAAGCTCCAGAACCCTCCCAGTTCAGTGGAAAGAATAAATTCCTTCCTCTGTCCGTAGCACTGCTCAGCCTGCCCTGTTCTCCTGAGGACCGAGGGACCACAAACGCAATTTGAGCCACAAAACACACTGCTCCACATCTCCTCTTCCTCAGTCATTTCCTCTGTCACTTCCCGTAATGTCCCAGACACACCCCGCCCATAGCTTCCTCCCCGCTTCTGTCTGGGAGTAAGTGAGGACCTGTGATAAGATAGAGGCATGGACTAGAAGTTTAAAAAGAGAAAGAGGGGTGATCTTGGCCCTCCTGAGAGAGCCCCATCTTTCCAGGTCTGAAGAGGACAAAGGGAGCTTGTTTACCCATTGTGCTTATCAAGCAACCGAACAGTCTCCACCTTCCTGGAGTTCGGGGCATAAGGGAAAAACTAGGCTCACCAAAGAAAGACCAGCGAACCTGCTATCCCCAAATCAGAGTCACAGAAGCCTGACCCTCCCACTAGATAAGACCTCCCATCCTGGAGGGTCAAATTCCTACTTTGACTATCGGAACTGTGTAGCCTCCACTGGCTGCAATCTATTTCCTCTCCACCCTCCCAAAAGTCATTAGGGGACTTGGTTCAAAAGCAATTTGTTTGATTCAATCCCATGACTAGCAATGGCAATAAGGAACTTTGGCGATCATCCCATCTCAACTTGTGACATTCTAAATAACCTCAATGGGCCAAAGTTATACGGCCAGTTAATTTTATTCAACAAACATTTCCTGGGCACTTACTGTATTAGAAGTGTGTCTGTGTGTTGAGGGGGACAGGGATGGAAGATATTCCGAGTAGAGGATTCAGGGTGAAGCAATGTAAAACCTTTCATTTTCATATGGGTGATACATGACATTTTATTACATCTTCAAATCAATAGTACATGTGAGAAGGAATGCTAGCTTAAAGTTAGACAATTTTTTTAAAAAATGAAAAAAAAAAAAAACTATCCTACCATGCATGTCTTTCTTCCCCAGTTGCTGGGACCAGTAGCTGCTGAGAACAGCATGTGCAGATCCTTAAAAGAAGTGAAAAGTTATGATACAAAAACAGGGGTGACACTGTGGTAAATTTATAAGCAATTACAACCAACTATCTGGTTTGACTAAACCTTAAGTGACTTGATCATGATGTTGGCCAGGGCCACAGCAGAGTGTGGAATTATGAATGGACACAGAAAGGAAGACACAGAATTTATGGATACGTTCCTCCTAATAATGTATCTGCTATGTTTTACACTTTCTGCAGCCCGAATTAAACTGCAGGTCTTTTTTTCTAATGTTTTAATTTGAGTCTAGTTGACACACAATGTTACCTTAGTTTCAGGTGTACAACAGAGTGATTAAACTTCTCTGTATGTTATCCTGTGCTCACCGCAAGTAGAGCTACCATCCGTCACCATACAGTGCTATCACAGTATCATCGACTGTATTCCCTGTGCTGTGCCTCTTATTCTTGTGGCTTATTCATTCCATAACTGGAAGCCTGTACCTCCCACTCCCCTTCACCCTTTTCACCCATCCCCCCAAACCCCTTCCCTCTGGGAACCATCAGCTTGGTCTCTGTATTTATAGGTTTGATTCTGCTTTTTGTTTATTCGTTTTGCTTTTTAGATTCCACACATGAGTGAAATCATATGATATTTGTCTTTCTCAGTCTGACATGTTTCACTTAGCATAATACCTCTAGGTCCATCCATGTTGTTGCAAATCGCAAAAATCTCATTCTTTTTTATGGCTGCATAATATCTAGTGTGTGGGGGGGTATGTGTATATACACACATCACATCTTCTTTATCCATTCATCTATCAGTGGACATTTGGGTTGCTTCCATATCTTGGCTATGTTAATAATGCAATAAACATAGAGGTGCATATATCTTTTTGAATTAGTTAAGCTGCAGGTTTTAATTCTTGTCCTGTCTATCAGTTCATTGTCAGGCCACGGTAAGAAGATCAAGGGTTTCACCTAAATCTTTCTCTAATCTTTCAAGGGAAAATATCTCCTTCCTCCAAGGATGAACATGCAAGGAAAACTGGGAACGCTGACAAAAGGTTCAATTTTCCACCAAGACAACATTTTTAGGCTTTTAGTGCCAAAAGAACTTTCTTTTAGTGAGGCATTTTTTTTCACTTCTTTGTGCCCTAGTTTTAGATCAGTGAATAGATAATTAAAATGAAGAAACAAAATGTAAAGTAATAACTGACAGAAGAGTCTTTGGGGGAGAAAAGGATGGGTTTTCTTCAGGAAAACTTACTAAATATCATGGGAGGTCCACCTAGGATGACCAGTCATCCCAGTTCGCCCAAGACTGTCCTGGTTTTAGCATCAAAGGTCCTGTATGCTGAGGAATCCTTCAGTCTCAAGCAAGCTGAGATGGTTGATCATCCCTGTCCAAAGACCTTCCCACTTTAGAAAAGCATTATTACAGGGGAAACACTTGCTCTCTGTACCAGTTAAAATATTTGTGAAGCATGTGTAAATCCACTAGAAACTTCTTTTCTATGGGGGAGGGTCAAGCTGTACTGTTTGGATGTCATGGGGCATTTTCCTGAGTCTTTAAGAAAATGCTTTGCTGAGCTTTGAATTTCATGTGTTTTGTTTCTCAGAGAGTAACTAGGTCAAAGTCCTGAAACAATCCCAGTCTCTGTCTTCTGTTCAGAGCAGGAGCCTCAGAGGTTCTTCCCAGCCTCCTCCTGCCCTGACCACCATCCCATCCACCGGCCTCTTCTGTCAAGTATTCCCCCCTTTTTCTGCTCAGCCCACTCTTCTCTAAGAGGATGAAAGGAGGAAGCGTCACATTCTTGCCCATCTTTGATTTCATCCCTCTGCTTCTGGTTGGTAGATTTTTTTTTTTTAAGATTTTATTTATTTATTTGACAAGAGAGACACAGTGAGAGAGGGAACACAAGCAGGGGGAGTGGGAGAGGGAGAAGCAAGCTTCCTGCCGAGTAGGGAGCCAGATGCAGGGCTCGATGTGGGGCTCGATGCGGGGCTCGATCCCAGGACCCTGGGATCATAACCTGAGCTGAAGGCAGACGCTTAATGACTGAGCCACCCAGGCGCCCCTGGTTGGTAGATCTTGAATACCCACGTTCCCAAACCCATCCCACCCACCTTGGGGGCAGGTCTGGGAAAGCTATTCCTGTCTGTATTTCCCACCTACAACCCAGGAATTTATCCTTCAAAAAATAAATCTTATTTAGGTGTCAATGATCACACAGGCTGGTCATTGAAAAAAACAAAAGGCTTTGTGACTATAGTGGAAATTGGCCCCTGAATTTTGCAAATGGCAGATCTGGAAGCATTGGTTCAGGGAACCAGTTCTGTCATTATTATTAAAATAGCTAATAGTTATTGGGTACTTACCATGTGCCAGGCACTGTGCTAAGCATTTACCATGTATTGTTTTTACATAACCCTATGAAATATTACTCATACTTTATAGAGGAGGGAATATAAACTTTATTTTTTTAGTTTTTACTTAAATTCTAGTTAGTTAACAGATAGTGTAATATTGGTTTCAGGAGTAGAATTCAGTGATTCATCACTTACATGTAACACCCAGTGCTCATCACAAGGGGAATGGAAAGTTTAAAAAAAAGTTAAGTCATTTGCCCAAGGTCAACAGCTAGGCAGCTAGGATGCAAACCCAGGCTGTCGGACGTGAAGGTTTCACCCTGCTATATATACTGTCTCCTTAATTCTGTAGTTTTCACACAAGACTTCAGTGAAAGAATGGGGAGGGGAAGATAGGGAAACAAAACAGCTAAAAACCGAAACTTGGGCGCCTGGGTGGCTCAGTTGGTTGGGCGACTGCCTTCGGCTCGGGTCATGGTCCTGGAGTCCCGGGATCGAGTCCCGCATCGGGCTCCCTGCTCAGCGGGGAGTCTGCTTCTCCCTCTGGTCCTCTTCCCTCTCGTGCTCTCTATCTCTCATTCTCTCTCTCCAATAAATAAATAAAATCTTTAAAAAAAATAAAATAACAAGATAAAAAAATAAAAACCGAAACAACCTGAAAGGTCCTGTGAAGGGCACTTAAAGAGCTATTTGTTACTTTCCTCCACTGTTGAACCCTCCCCAGGACCCAAGTCAAAAAGTACCTGTTACAGGGTCTTCAGCCACACCAACCCAGGGTGCAAAATATCTGGAGTAAAAATCAAATGCTTGGGTCTGCCCTCCAGGCTCTCCTTTAAGGGTGAGAATGAGTCCTTTCACCTTCCCTGTGTTTTCCACTTGCGGCAGATCCTGTGTGTTCACCTTCAGGTTCTCCAGGAATGACCTGGTTCGTGAATGGGATGGATTAGAACAAACCCATCTCACAGACCACTACGCAGATTCTGTAAAGCAAGCAGGGGTGCAGCTTTTGCCCAAACCGCTCAGCAGGAGGGGAGGAGAGAGCAAGTAGAATATCTTCCTCCCTGGGAACAAAACTCTCTGACTGCATAAATCATGGTTTGACTGGACCTAAGCACGGCCAGACAAAGCCAGGGCTATAAATCTGGGTTCTCAGCCCTCCCCAAAGTGCTGCGGAAGCCAAAAATCTTGTTTACCTCTTGTAAGTATCACTGAGCCGGACAAGGAGTTTTCGGGTACCTGGAGAATAGCAGATGTCTTGGACTAGGGTATCACCTATGGCAGTCTGTGGAGACAGACCAAAAACTCCTCAGAAGTGCACCTTGGGTCAAATCATTGATCTTCTCTTTGGGGAACAGCCTCTCATGAGCATCTCCTGTGTGCCAGGCATACCCAATGTCCCCAATCCCAAGAGTTTTAGTTCAGTTTCAGGACTCAAGGTGTTGCCCAAGGAAGGCCAGTTTTCTGGAGACCAGAGACCCTTAAGGGGGTTGAACTCACCCTCTAAGAGCCGAAGACAGGCATTGTTCACAAGTATTACTATGTCCTTCAAATGGGCATTTTCCTCACAAATAAGGAGCAAGACTTAGGCCCAGGGACAGACAGACAGACACACACACACACACACACACACACACACACACACACACACACCCCTTGACCCAGGTCTGAGGGGCCCTGGAGTCAAAGCTCTGAATCACTACTGTCTACTGTCTGTAGAAATGGGGGCCTCGGGCCCACCTCTTAGCATTGTTGTGAGGATTAAATGAAATAATATATGTGGAGTCAGCAGTAACTAGAAGATTCTACATGGCAAGGACTCAGGGCCAGCAGTTTGAATGGAACTGGGGACTAAAACACATCTTAATGCTGCTTTACGTGGCAAGCACTGTTTTCACTTCGATTGTATGTTGCAGATCAGTAACATAGCAACATTTTCTAAAGATACCTGGATTCACCCTTTACCTGAGACTGCACGTAATCTTGCTCATATCCTAGAACTTGTTTGTCTGTTTGCTTGTTGACTTGGAGTGCCGAGGGGGATGCTGAGTGGGGGAAGCCCCTCCAAGTCACCCGTTGGCACCCCCACTGGCTGTAGGCAGAGCAAATGAGAATTACATGGTAGTTGTCTGGCTATCATTAGGTTGCTTCAGGTTCTCTAATTTTCTTTAGGTACTGAGATGCTTCGGGTCCCAAAGCCAAGACTCCCTCCGCTTTGGGTGGTGCCTCGGCTGTCTGCCCCGGCGACCACAGCTGAACAATGTCCCTCCCTCTGGAAATGGAAACTCTTGCAGCCAGAGCCCATCTGTTCTCCGGCCTTTCAGCTTCTCCGAGGGGTCATTCAGCCCTCCTCTGCATGAATTCTGATGTCAATTTGAAAGTCTAATTCTCAGCTGAGAATCTTATGACCAGTTTCTAGGAACACAAAACAACAATACTCAGGATACATAACCCTTTATCATCCTCACTTTACAAACGCTGACCCTGAAGCTTAGAGACACTGCGTTAAGTTCTTTCTACCATGAACAAGGTCTGTACTGTGATTATTGTCCATTTTCTTGTCAACTTGCGTAAAGCAGTTCATTTATGAATGTTGGCTTGTCTTCCAAAACCCAAGCCATAGGTGGGGCTGAGTGTAAAATCAGAATCTGTAATGCTTGCTTCTACTCTTTGAAAAACATAGATAATGCAAGACACTAAAGAGATTATAAATGCTGTAGTTGAACATTCACTGAGAAACACCCCAGTGGTACCCAGGATAGGCCATTTAGTGAGAATTGGTTTTCTCCCTGCAGCCCTTGCCCTGATCCTGATGGGGCCTTTCCTACTCTACAGACTAAGAACTGGGTCATGCAGAGCTGCTGGGGGCGGGGGGGGGTCTGGAATCCCCATAGGATGATTGTAGTGCCTCCCTCACCCAGTGACAGTATTAGGTGAGATAATGCATGTGAAAAGCGTAGCACCTGGTACTGCCCAGGGGCAACTCTCAAAAATGTTCATTAGCATGATCGCTGTTATTCTTATGAAGGCCCACCCCTTCCTAGACCTCTTGCAGAAGCCAGGCTATGAATCCCGCCTTCTCTCTCAAGTTGCCAGAGCTTTCCTGTCCTCCTCCATCAAAGCACAGCCCCTCACCTCAGCCTCATTCTCCACCACAGAAATCCAGGCCGCCCTGCCCAACACCTTCAATTGCTTTCATGCTCGGCCCACCACACAGCAGTCTCTCTTCCCCCTTCCTTCAAGGAGGCTAATCTGGCAATGAAGAGCCCGGGACAACTGCTCAAGCTTCTCACCAGATAGATTCAACATTAAAACTCACACCTCAAATGCACCACGCTCTTTTCATCCAAGCTTAGGCTGGAACGCTTATACTGATAGAAGGCCTATCTTTGGGGGTTGTATGGTACTGAATCCTTTTTTTTTTTAAGATTTTATTTATTTATTCATAAAGACAGAGAGAGAGAAAGACGCAGAGAGAGATGCGGGGCTCGATCCCAGGACCTCGGGATCACGATCTGAGCTGAAGGCAGATGCTTAACTGACTGAGCCACCCAGGCGCCCCAAATGGTACTGAACCTTTTTGTTCAAACAACAAATGACCAAATCACACGAGCTTAGGTTTAATTCTTTTCACCAACCTTTATCAAGTCCTCCACTTCATGGAAGTCCTAGATGGGGAAAAAGACAAGACCACAGTAAGGCACGCAAGCTGTCAGTTAATACGGTTCATGGCAATAGTTAGAAAGAGCTGACCTGCGGGTGGGCAGGATAAAGAGGTAGATCCAGGATAATACTGTTCTCTGCTCTTCTGGCCTTCAGTTCCCCACTCAGAGTGACAAAGGTTAGAGTGTTATTCACATTTTCTGGCAAAAAAAAAAGTCTTTGTCAATCAGAAAACTCTTTGAAAGGAAATCAAGAAATAGGAAAATAAACTTTGTTATATATTCACACATCTGTTTTGATCACTACTGCATTGTCTTAGATTCCCTGGCAGTGCACCTTTTCCTGAAAGGAGGGGTTCAGGTTTGGGTGACTGGGGTCCAGAGTAGAGATAGCCCCCACCAGCTTCTCACTTGAGAACCAAGAACATAACTGGTCGGACTTGACATCATACTGCAAGGCTTCAAAGGCCAGCTCCTTTATGCTGACTAACTGTGCCTTTGAGCAAATTATTTAGCCTCCTTAAGTCTCAATTTCCTCATCAGTAAAATGGGGTAATAATTAAACCTACCTCATAGGGATGAAATAGTGTTTTCTAATGCAGATTTTAAATATCCACCTACAGGGGCGCCTGGGTGGCTCAGTTGGTTAAGCGTCTGCCTTCGGCTCAGGTCATGGTCCCAGGGTCCTGGGATCGAGCCCCGCATCGGGCTCCCTGCTCGGCGGGAAGCCTGCTTCTCCCTCTCCCACTCCCCCTGCTTGTGTTCCCTCTCTCACTGTGTCTCTGTCAGATAAATAAATAAAATCTTAAAAAAATAAATAAATATCCACCTACAATACTAGATTGTTGGAAATAATACCAGTCTAAAATATGCCAAGGGATGACAAATAGAATATACAAATTATGAACAACAGTCTACTAGAAATAAATCAAGCTTACCCTAAATAAACCAAGCTACACATAAATTTTTTATTTAAAAATTGGACCACAAATGCTCGTATACTAGCCCTTCATGTTACTGATACAACTTGGACCACTCATCTGACCTCAAAGTGGGTAACATTTTCAGTGAAAACAAAGATCTGTGCCCTAATTCTTCCCCCCCCTTAATATTTCTGTAAAACTTAACCATATCTGAAAGGTAAGGAAATTTGGCATTGTTGATTAACTTTCACTGAATATAAAATGTATACTCCAGAGCCCAAAGTTTAATTTTTCTCATTATAAATGGTGGGAGACATCATTATTTGCAAAGCATTTTTTCATATTTTATCTTATCAAATTTTAAGACCGCCCTGTGCAGGATCAATCTGAAGGCTATTATTCCAAATCTCTGCCCCACACCAAACAATGTGGGGTTTTCAAAAGGCACTCAATCCAACTTCAGTAAAATCTTTTTTCAAGACTGAGTTCCTAAGCAATATTTCAGGGTATTTGCCTGCCTTCATTCTTGTCCCCTATCCACAGAAACCAAAATTATCTTGTTAAGACATACCATGGATTACATTATAGAGGGACCTCAATGTTATCTCCTGCCAGTCACCCCCGCCCCTGGCCCCTGGAAACTGCAGCCACTCCAGATACACAGACTACTCCTCAGGAGCTTTGCATTTGCTGCTGCCTCTGCCCAAATACTCCTCCCACTCGAATTCTTTGCACACATGGCTTGATATTCTTCAGCCTGAAGGTCCCCTTCTCTAGTGGATGCTGCAGTCCAGCATCTCAACCTTCCCCTCTGAAGGCCAGGACTAGCGAGGCAAGGAAATACAGAGGCATGCATTTAAGGAGGCACCTGCTCTCAGGCGCAGCCTGAAGGCCCTGCCCCAGCTGCCAGGGGTGTTGGTGACTGACTGCTCTCAGCTGAGTCCCACTCTGCGAATCGCCCTTGGGTGAGTAGAGCTACTCTACCCAAAGTCAGGCTGCTTTTCTGGGCGTTGGAGGCTGATCAATGGAGGGTATAAAGGCCTGCACCTTTGTTTCTATTTGGAACTATACTACTTGAAGGATTGTTGCAGTTTCAGATCTCCCTGTGGATTTGGCCTATGCCTTTCTTTGTTGCTACCACTTTGCAGTTCAACGTGTCCCTCTGTTCTATTCTGCTTTCTTTACTCCCTGCCAATATTGACTCCAAGAATACTGCCCACAATTCTCCCAGCATGCAATGTGCTTCCCAGGGGAACTTGCCCTGTAACACCTCCCCGTACCCTCCCCATCTAAGTAACTCCCCAGAGAACCTCCTTTTCCGATGCCGCTCTCCCCACTTACACTCTTACACTCTGTCATATCATCCTGTATATTTCCTTGCTTACCTTTCTGTTTGTTGTCTACACCTATTCATGGCTGCTTCCATCTCCACTTTTAGGGCATTTCTAGGCATCTCTCCTCTGCCTCATTGCCACAGAGCCCTAATCTTTATTATACTAGATGTAGCGAAGATGAAAACTGGTAGGACTGAGGTGAAGCATCCTCTCTTCACAAGGGAAATGTATATAGCCGTGGCTCATGAATCTTTAAACTTCAAAGTAAAGAAGCTCTTGTGAGGGGCATTTGACTGGCTTAGTCCATAGAGCATGTGACTCTTGATCCTGGGGTCGTGAGTTCAAGCCCCATGTTGAGCGTAGAGTTTACTTAAAAAAAAAAAAAAAAAGCAGCAGCAGCAGCAGCTCTTGTGAAATGAATCTCAGTGTGGGTGGGGACATATTTGGAGCAAAATGTGACTTATGGTTCCCCGATACCACATCATGTGAGACCCCTATTGTGTCTTGCAAGCTCCCCTCCTGTGTTGGTCAGAGACCAGAGAGCTCCTGTTCAGAATAAAATGGCATTCTAGGGAGCAACGACCAGAGCTTCCCAACAGGCCTGGCACATAATCAGAAAGGCCAAAGTTTCGGGGGGCTGTATTTGTTTCAGCGTCATGAATGACATGAGTAGACTCTGTAAAGTCTTGATAGCAGGGACTTTGATTCATCACAAAGAGTGAGAATTTTAAAAAATACTTGCTATTTGCTCAGTGACAGGTTCATAAAAGAAAATCACATTACTTATTTTGTCAAACAGCACAGCCGCGGAAGCCAGGGTAGCGTGGCCGCAGAGGGGAACCTCACTCGCTGGCGTAAACCACCTTAATCCAAAGCAGGAACCTTCAGAGGCGGAAAAGCCAAAGAGAGACGAGATCATTCCCATGCAAGTGGGTCACAAACTTTTCATTTTCTTATTCTTTTCTCAATACTTCCCTAGCATGATTAACAGCTGAAAGGCATTGTGAAGGAGGAGTGAAGTCTAGGCCAGCATCCTAGGGCTCCCTGGTGCCAGATCTGAAGCTGAAACATTCAAATTACCCAACACCTGCTCTCCCCAGACAAACTGAAAACCAAATCAGAATCTCCCCCACCTTCTCTCCTGTCCACATGCAAATCTCTCTGAAATATCATTCCCCCACTGGAAAATTAGTTTCTGGTACCGTCCAAGAATGGCTTAAAAAAAAAAAAAAGCATATTTACTTTGTGTAAAGTTGTCAGTGGGGTGCAGTTTTCGGATAAAAGCAGTTTCAGAGAGGTTCATTTCTCTTGCAATTTTTTGATGCATGTCTTCATCCAATTTCTAAATTAGAAACAAAAGTTCACTGAGACTCCAGAAACACAAATCAGACTTCCTTGGACAGCAACTGCCATTAGTTAATAACACAGCTTATTAATATTAAAAGTTACACTCCTCAAAGGAAATAATTGACAAGGAAGTCAAGACACTTTTACAAAGATTGCTTCTCAGAAATCTATGCTCCTAGCTCTCCATGAAGAGCTGTAGATGCACAAAGCTAGAACAGACTCTGAAAAACCTACCGGCCAGCCCTATCTTTTATCAGATTATTATCTAGTCTACCTGAGAGCATATGTTCTCTTCTAAACAATCTCCACAAAGGGAAACTCCACAATCTCCCTTTTTTGTGGAATAGAAAGATCTTCAGCATCCACTCTAGGTAGGCTGGCCCATTCTGCTCCCATCTATATATGGTTCACTCCCTTTTATGAGTCAAGCCTCAGGCTAGAGGTCACCTCCTCCAGGAAGCCTTCCAGACTGCTCTGTCTAAAGGCTTTGTCTCCTCCCAGTGCTTAGACCACCTGAATTTACCCACTGTGTCCCTTCACTGTCTGTCCCCCAACATCTGAGTTTATGAGGGCATACAATGTACTATCTTGCTTTTTTCTGACTTACACCTTGTATTCATCCCAGAATGGTAGGAGCTCAATAAACATTTGCTGGGAGAATACATTATTCACTACATCTTCATTTTTACTTGTTTTGTATGTGTAAGCTCTATGCCCAACATGGGGCTTGAACTCACTACCTTGAGATCTAGAGTAACATGCTCTACCGACTAAGCCAGCCAGGCACCCCACTTCACCTTCATCTTTAAAACTCTCAATATAGGGGCGCCTGGGTGGCTCAGTTGGTTAAGCGACTGCCTTCGGCTCAGGTCATGATCCCGGAGTCCCAGGATCGAGTCCCGCATCGGGCTCCCGGCTCGGCGGGGAGCCTGCTTCTCCCTCTGACCTTCTCCCCTCTCATGCTGTTTCTCTCTCTCTCTCTCTCTCTCAAATAAATAAATAAAATCTTTTAAATAAATAAATAAATAAATAAAACTCTCAATATAGATATTTTTATCCACTTGCATATAAAGAAATCAATCACAGAGAGGTTGTGTAATATCCTAAGGTCACAATATGCCAAATAAATGGTAGAGTGGTTAAGAATGTGGGCTTTGTAAATGGTAACAACCAGTGAATCTAGAGGAAAGGTATAGGATGTTCATTGTACCATTCTCGAAATTTTTCTGTAGTTCTTAATTTCTCAAAATAAATGGTTAAGAAAATAATGTGAATTTGTATCCTGGGTCAGGTCCTAGTAACAGTGCAAGAGTGGGCAAGTCATTTAATCTCATGGAGCTCCAGTATCCACACCTTTAAAATGAGGACAATAGTACTTAGGTGAAAGAGTTCCTGTGGAGACACACAAATACATATATATACATGCACACACGTTCCTCTTAACTCAAGGAAAAAAAATGGGTCAGAAATATGAGTTTTCCTTCAGAGAATGAAAATCAAATTTTTAATCAACAAATACTCGCTAGTTATATTTTGAATTCTAAAGAAGTCTCAAGACAAATGCATTTTTGCTTTGGCCAAATTTACTATTCTTGAGCCCCCGAAACCCAGAAATAAGATTTATGACTTTATACTAATAAATTCATAATTCACTTAACTGACTTATGCAAGTTAAACACCCATTATCTTTCAGTTGATTCAAATTCTTTTGAAACACTTTCCACATACTCATATAAGGCACAAAATGCTGGTTATTGTGACAAATCAGTCATGACTTTTAAACTACCAGCTCATATAAAAATCCTAGCGGACTTACTAAGCTTTTCTTAAAAGGGCACTGTCTTCAAAATCTATAGATGTTGTGGAGTCCTAGAGAGAGAGAAATGACTTAAGCAATTGATATTTATTGTCTGAAAGCCCAAACATAACACAATGATTTTGTGTTCTACTTAGCATTTTTTTTTCAAAAAGATTAAATCCAATAATGCATATAAAGTGCTCATCACAGTGCCTAACACAAAGCAAGTACTTGGTAAATGTTAGCTTTTATTTCGAGTGGCTCAAAACCCCTGCGTTAAGCAGCCACACCACTCTGCCTCCCCATAACAAAGACAAACTCTTATTACCCCTTTAGCACACCGCAGACAGGAAAACCAATGTCCATCAGGTAAGATGGATTCCTGCAGCGTTTCTAAAGGAAAGCAGCAGTCGGCTACCAAGTGCTGTGCTGGGTAGTACACCACTACGGAGGGAACACCTTAGAAATGCAGGGTCTCAGTCCCCACCCCAGACCTTCTGATTTAGAATTTCCTTTTTTTTACTAGATTTCTAGCTGATCCATGTGCACATTAAAAGTTTAGAAGCCCTGGTGGTTACGATACAACCCTGTGTTCAAGGGGCTTAGCATCTTGCAGGGAATCAGAAAGTACCCACAAGCAACACCAGAGAGTACGTAGTTGAGACACATAGATTTGACAGTAAATACTCTAGGACTTTAAAGATGAAACTGTGAGGTGGACTTAGAAAAAGAGCATATTTGGCTGAGTTGGACAGGAAAATGTGGGCAGAGAGCTTTGTGTTGAGGTTGCTTCTTAGGCAAGTCACTTGACCTCGCTTCTGTTCTCCTTCTGTTAGATCTTTGACACGCTAGGATTCTGTGAGCTGAGGTACGGAGAACCAGGATGGTAGGAATGAAGTGGCATGAACATCTGTCCCACCTGTGGGCCCGGGGAGTGAGTCATCCCCCCTGAGCAGAGGGGCTGGGATCTGCTGGGCATCCCAGCCAACAGGGCAACAATGTTAAGAAGCACTTCTCTCGGCTCACTGAATGTTCTGTGTGGAAACTGGCCCACGTGCCTGGGCATACAACACCTGAGAGGAGCTGGGAACCAATTAAGTCCCTCCTGCAGAGTGTGCCATCACAGGCCTCGGTGGTGATTGAAGGGGTAATAAATAAAAGTCTGTGTTGGTCTCTCTGGATTTGCCGCCATGGCTGCAGGAACCTGCAGTGCTTGCTAGTCCTTCCTCTGCTCTGGCCAAACTCCCTAACCTCGTCCTTCCTTGCCTTGTCTATTGCTTCTCTCCACCTTTAGGACAAGAGTCTCAAAAAGCATTAAAGCATCCCCCATTGTAGCCAAGTTCACCATCCACTGTTAATGGATTTCTTTGCAACTGGGCTTTTTTGCACATCGGCTAGAATACACATTTCACTGGCCATCGGCTCTTCCATCCTCTCTACCTTGGTGTATTGTACCAATTGCAATTTGAATTTCTATAGCTAATCTCTGTCCCAGGACACTTAAAACGCATTTGCTATTTGCCTGAGGGACCAGAGATGCCGTAGAAAGTTTGATAGTAGCCGTCCTCAATATGCATCACAGGCAGCCAAATTCCTACACTAGAACCAAAAGCCAAGATAATTGTAAATCATTGGAAGACTAAAGTTGCTTCAACTTTGGGAGCTTGAGAAACAAAAGAGACTGCATTCGGGCAAAAAACTGAATTTTTGTTTCAGTCATTTTTTTCATTTTATACTAAAGTTGTTTATTTTCAAATGCAGCGTATAACAGTTACACACCAACAACTGTGAATTCTCTTGCTTTAATATCCATTTCCCTTTGGCAATCTCATGAGTCAAATTTCCGACAGCAAAGACAGAGCCATGTTTGTTTTTCTCTGAGTTCCAGTGTGCTGCATCGGGACCCTGAGGTTTCATCACCATATGGCCCACAAACATTAATGATCAGAAAATCAGAGCAAAGTTTTAAAATACTCCCACCTTGTGGCAGCTTGGGAATATGACAGCCTACACATGACCAGCCTGCTATCAGTTCTTGTTCATTTATCCCTCTGCTATAAATAGATCCCAGCAAAGGAAAAGCACTTGGATATGGAAAGATCTAAATCATCCAGGAAGAAATGGAAAATTCCTTCTGAAGCACTTGGATTTCCTATTTTGAAGTTAGGTCCATACAACGCAGCACTCAAATTGCAGGCCGTCTTCAGTGGTTCCTGATGATTCTTACGGGTGCCTGGTCTCTCTAGCTCCATCAAAGAACTCAAAACTCGTACTCACTTTGCACACCCCACCACCCCAACTCACCAATGACGATAAAAGATCAGTAGTTGTTAGTCAGCTAGAACTCTTAGAAAGAGATCTTGCCATGATTTAATTAATAGATTTACTTTCACTCAACACATAGCTATTTAGTGCCTCTCATGTGCTAAGCCGTGTGTCATGGAATAAGGGTAGGTTAAGATTTCGTAGAATATGCAGTCTAGTGAGGAAGACAGGTACTGAATGAATTACACCAAGAGCAACGCATGCTACCAACTGGAAAGTAAGGGATGCCATGGGAGAACATAAAAGGGGAGGACATCTAGTCTGGTAGTAAGTACAATGGGTTAAAAGCATGGGATCTGCAGTCACACAGACCTGTGGTGGAATCCTGAAGTCAACCACTTAACCTTCCTCTGCCTGTCTTCTCATCTGTAAAATGGGGATGATAATAATAATAAGACCTAAACTTAGGGGTGCCTGAATCGCTCAGTCAGTTGAGCGTCTGACTCTCAATCTCAGGGTTGTGAGTTCAAGCCCAGCATGGAGATTAGTTTAAAAAAAAAAAAAAAGACCTTCTCTTAGAGTCTATGTAAGGATTAAATGAGATAACATATAAAAAGCACTTTAGCACAGTATCTGGCTGAACTGCCTGAAGTCATTGCTCCCATAGCCATAGCTGAGAGTTATGTTCTAGAAGCCAGTGAAATAAATTCCCACAGCAGCATCTCCCCCTCCCTTGCACTGCTCTTTTTCCTCAAATACTGGGCAAGAGAAAAACTTCAATGCCCTGGAAAAATCTTCTCTGCACTCTTCATTATGCCTTTTCTGGGCATAAAAATGAGATATAACTTTGGAGCCCCCTAGAGCCCCCAGGAGCCTCTGACCCAGTGTAGGCACACAGAGCCAGGGATCCTCTAAGGAAGGGCACCAAGTTT